CCCACGGCGTGCGCTTCAATATTACGGCGCGCATGATGGCGTGCCAGGCGCCGGCCAACTGGACCGAGGCCGAGAGTCACGGCTTCTTCACGCGCAACCTCTACCGCGCCGTGCTGCAGAAGATGTTTCTCGACCGCGGCGTCATCACAAAGGTGTACCACCGGCCGAGCGGCGAGGGCCAGACGACGACGGCCGAAGCGGAGGCGGACCATGGCAGGCCGCGCCGCCAGGGCGAGGGCGACACGCCGTTCGACGTCAGCACGAACCCCGTGACCATCGGGTCGCTCAACAAGCGATGCTACACGTCGTTCAACGCCTACGTGCGCGGGGCCATCCAGAAGCTGACGACGAACAAGGGAGTACACGAAATACAGCGCCATTGTGCAGGCCAAAGATGGGCGACGTCACGGACGAGGAGATTGCCGACTACGAGGCGCGCTTTGCCAGCCGCGGGCGCGAGGTGTCGGCCGTCTGGAGCCTCATGGCCTTTAGCGCGGGCATCGTCGAGTCGCTCATCGTCACGGACCGGTGGCTGTTTCTCGCGGAGGCCGACGTCGTCAAGGATGCGTGGGTGGAGACGGTGTTTGACTACAAGCAGAGCCCGCGCAACCTCGTCGTCGTCGGCATCAAGAGGTAGAGCCGCCAAGTCGTGGTTATGGCAGCGACTGCCGTACATGGAGCACAGCACATGCCATGTCTCAGAGAAGGACGATATAGAACCCGACCCGGTCGGCGGCGCCGATGCGGCCCCCGCGGCGGGCGCCCGTCTTGGCGAAGGCAACCGCCGATCGGTGGAGCGGAATTTGATCAGCAACGCAGACGACCAACGTACAAAAAAAAAGCCGGTTTGCGTAGCGTCCTGTGACGGCACATGGTGGTGTAGCCTGTCATTCAACTGACAGACGGCATGCCGTGGTCAGCGCGGCGGCGTCGCCCAGCAGCAGCAGCATCGACAAGCAGCAGTGGCATCGGGGTTGCCGCATGACGAGGCAAAAGCCCCTGTAATAGATCACAATGCCTCCTCGTCAGCCAAGGACCAATTTCCCTCAAAAATGGTGTGAACTGCCTGTTCCTTTGGTCTATGGACAAAAAGGGGGCAAGCCTGCCGGGAGGAATTTGGTGCTTTTGGTGGCTTTT